TCCATCAGATTGCGGGTGATAAGAAGTAGTTCTTGTTTTATGAGTACCCATAACTCGGCAAGTTTCCTGGAATATTTGAGACTCAAAATTCCTTCCTTGATCGCTGTGAATCTCTAAAGGTACTCCAAAACGACAGAAGACTTCATGAACTAGTTTATCTGCAACTGTTGAAGCTTCTTGATTTGGAATGGCGAAGACTTCTGGCCACTTAGTGAAGTAATCCATCACAACCATGAAATACTTGTTACCGCTTTCACTCTCCGGAAACGGCCCCGCCACGTCAATGGCTATTCTCTCCCATGGTGCACCAACATTGTACAATTTCAATGCACCTCTACTACGAGTCTGAGGTCCCTTTACAGCCGCACAACTTGTACATTTGCGACACCAGTCCTCGACATCGTTTCGACAGTGGACCCAGTAAAACCGTTCTCGGATCTTCAATAGAGTTCGTTTAACTCCCAGATGGCCTCCTGAACAATCATTATGGTACAGCTGTAGAACATCCGGTACTTTAACTTTAGGGACAACCATTTGCAAATGACAGCTGTCTCCCCGAACGTTTTCCCATTTACGACACAGAACTCCATCCTGAAGCAGCAAGCTGTCCCATTGGGCCCAATAGCTTTTCGTGGTTGAACTCATCGCTGAGACGTCCCTCCACTTAGGCTTGGTAGCACGGGCCTTCATCCATCCCAGAATCGGCTTGATGTCCGGATCTTCCTGCTGTGCATGTCGTAGGTTGTCCTTCCACCCGTTGCTGAGGTGGTCTGTCCTGAGCATCCTCACGGATACCACCTCCTTACTCTCTTGCCTACTACAATGGTTGCAATCTTCAGGACAAGGTCTTCTTGACAATGCATCTGCGTTGCCGTGAGATTTCCCGCTGCAGTGTCTGATAGTAAAGTCGTATTCCTGCTGCTGCTGGGCGGTGCTGTTAGCCGCACTTCCTTTCTGAGACCGTTCACCTTCCCTTCCTAGGGTGTGCTTAGGGCAGCTGGACCGAAGATGGCCCCTTTCCCCACAGCCATAGCACCTAGGGCTGTATCTTTTATTGTGGTCGCGAACCGTAACTGCTGTAACCTCCCTAGCGTGAGGTGAACGATGATCCTGTCGCCGCCAGGCAGTGCCGTTAGCTGCACTACCCTCTCGAGATCGATCAACTCTCTTTTCCACGGCTCGTTTAGGGCAGCTGGATCGAAGATGGCCCTTTTCCCCCACAGCCATAGCACCTAGGGCTGTATCCTTTGCTGCGGTCACGGACTGTAGCTGCTGCAACCTCCCTGACGCGATGGGAACGATGATCCTGCCGCACGACTTCCACCTCCAGTGCATGGGCCAAGGCGTTCTTAAGCGTGTCGTGGTGCCCGAGTCTCACAGCAGCTCTGACTTCAAGGTCGCGGATGCCGTCGATGAATGTCTGCACCAGGTTCCCTTCAATGAGCGCAGGTACAGACCGGTATGCTTTTCGCACCAGCTTCTCCACTTCTAGAGCCCACTGCTGCAGGTTTTCGTTGATGCGCTGCACACGATCTTTAAGTTGCGCACGAAAGACGTGTTCCAGGTGAGCGTCGCCATATCTCGCCTCCAATGCCTCAAGGAGCTGCTCGTAGGTCACTTTCTTACCGAGAGCTTCCAACACAGTTAAGGCTTGGTCGCGCAGGCCTAAGGTGAGTGCAGTCATGGCCTGGCTTTTATTCCAGCCGTTTGCCTCCATGACGGCCTCGAACTGGATTTTGTAGGACGACCAGGAAGAGGTCCCGTCGAACGGCGGCACTTTGAATCCACGTAGCGAAGGTGTTGTAGCTACTACGGGAGCTGTTGTTCCATCCCCAAGTTTGAGGTCGTCCAGCGTTTTCTTCACGTCAGCCATTACGTTGTCAACCCGATTGTTTACTTGGTCGATTCGGGTTTCGGCCTCCGACAGGCGGTTGTCATGTTGAGCAACCTTATCCTTCACCTCCCGTATCTCTTTTCCGCAGATAGCGTGTGGTAAGTTTTTAATATGAATACTTTACAAACATATGTTTAAATTAGGTTAAGTTCCCCGGTTAAAACTAACATCGTGTCCTGGAGGAAAATAGCTGCTTACGATTTGACAGCGCTTACCGCTTACGATCGCCATTTTGCTTACAAGCGCTTGCTAGCGCTTTTTTCTGCCAAACGCACCCATTCTATTTACTTTTACCAATATAAATACATTTACATCCAACGTCTATTCGCAATAAAGTTCGATGTTTATCGCAAGTAACTACAACCAAGTTCGATATAATAACTCCAAAAACACACTATTACTCGCTCATCATATCATTTGTAATCTGATGTTAGTTATTAGTAGTATTATTTAATGTAAATTACTAAAGCATAAATGTTAGAAGGCGCAGCTATTAAGCGTACTTCCGACTTCAGTAAATGACAATGCTGGCTGTAGCGATCCCGCAATCTTTGAATCTTTTACAAAACATAAACTTGTTACTGTAGATAAAAGCGACCTTAATTTATAATCAGAAATAATATTCCTTTTTAACGTTTCCTAATGGTAGTAGAAATTCTTAGCTGCTGCTACATTTATTAATATACATTTATATTAATAAATGGTCACAACATTTATTAATATAATTACATTTAAGGTTTTTTAATAAACGCGTCCACGTTTTAAGTATTATGAACTATTTAAAAAACAAAATATTTTTATGTAAATATAAAAATAGATAATATTCCTAAAATAACCCCGACGGCTCGGCAGACGGTAGAGCAGTGGCTAAGTCTCAGGTTGCGACACCGCGGGTAACTGGTTTAAATCTCACACGGAACAAGTGTTTGGTCTAGAAAAATAATTGTTTCGGCTTTTCATGTCTCTCACCGAAAACAGTGATACGGAAAAAAATCCACTGTAACGATTTTTTAAAGTAACAAAAATACAGTCATTAAGAGCTTTTTATTTTTGTTTGAGCGTTATCTATTCTCTCCCGTAAGTCCTTTACTAACTGTGAGCTCTTTATAATATTTGATGTTGAGTGTTGTTGTATCGTAAAAGTTAAAGCGTCCTTAACAACTTATTGATACTCTTATATTACGATATCGTAGCATCAGCTTAAGCTCAGCGATGTTATCAGTATTCAAAGGATCCATTACCGATTTTGATCCACCGTACTCTAGAACTGGATGCCTTGTAACTTTGTTTGATATGTGTCAACGATGTGGACTGACGCTAGGGGTATTGTTAAAGTAGGGGTGTTGTGGGTATTAAAATTTTTAGAATATTCCGAGTTATGGAGAGCCTGATAAACTTAGAAATAAAAATATCCAACTGGTCAGTAAGTAAAAGTCGTGGACCGGCAATTTAGCCCGAAAAACCGACAAACGATGAGGAAGGAAGGTTCTCGAGTGACAGCTTCCCCGGTAAGCTAAGTAAGTGCAAGATGGAGTGATAACCTGGTAACAAATGTAGGAAGTTGATGGTTGCAGATGGCTCAGGGTGGCTTATGTTCAGCTATGAATGAATGACGAAATATTTTCGAAGTGCACAACCATCGCAACCGAACTCTGATAAAATCTATGAGGAATGAGGGACTCTGCCACCACGGTCACTGGCTGTGATGAAAATGACAATTTACCGAAATACTTTTATTTTCAAATATTAACAACTTATACACATAATATAAATAAATATAAATATAACACATAAAATAAATCTTGATGAAACATTCATTTGTATAATATTTCAAATAAGTTTTATGTGAAGGATAACACTAGCTGATTCGAGTTTGTATCATCCCTAAGCGTCAGTGCAATTTGTGAAAACGCTTGGGGAGTTTTTGCCAACTGGAAAACACTGTGATCCCTTCACGTTTTGTAACTGTCCAGACTAATTTCGCCAGCGCACACATTCTTACTTACTGCTACGAGTTAGCTTACGATTTGGAAGGGATTCCTCTTTGTCGCAACGCCGGAAGTAGAGTAGAAGAAGAAAGTAGAATAGCTCCCATAGAATACTATAAGAATGTTAAATATATCAGGCACATCAACACCAATCATCTTATCGTCCACTTTGTTGCTATGCAGCTTACAAGAAACTGATTTTATGAAAGTTAGACGTAGTCACTTGTAGTAAGTTAGGGCGATGTTTTATATTCTTAACAATATATATATATATATATATATATTGATTTTAAACGTGGAAGAGCCACGCTGCAGTTATATAATGGTTGTAGCTTGTAGCAGAATAGGTCGATTGGACCGGGGAAGGACGACAGTCTGACAGAATACCAGTGTAAAATAGCAGCTTAATACTGCTGTGTTTCGTATGGTGAGTGTGGAGATCCGAAGACCCTTTTTTACTGCAAACAAGGCATTCCATCTTAGTCCTCAGGGGTGACAACGCATCTGCGTTTTGATTCTTAATCGAGGATAAATGTAGATGTCTATGGGCCACAACATCTACTTACCCTTATTCTATTAAAAATATTGGAGCGAGGTTGGATCATGGACATGTGGTGACCCCTTTTGGTCCCGTGATGGTCTTAAGAGGTGGCTAATGGGAAATGCCAGAAAGTCTTATAGCTTCCTTGCTACTGTATTGAAACCCTTGCGGCTGTATAACCATCTCGTTTACACCAGGCGTAAAATAGCCAGACCGACGACGGACATCAGCGGCAAGGGTGTAAGCCGTATGGTGCTAAGATCGTAAATTCGCCCACCAAGTGTGATGATTAACCCTTACAAGCTTATAACTATTCTAAGATAGTTAAAATGATTTTTTTTATTTATGTCTATTTATTTTGGTCTAATTTAATTAAAAACGTATAAATAAAACCATATTTATGTATATTTCCATGTTTTTGAGAAGGGGACATAAGTGTCCCAATATGCGTTAAGGTACATTTTTCTTATGTACGGACAAAAAATACTAGAATGATTTTATTGTGAAATAAACACAAACTATGATATAAAGTACAAATTATTTATTGTAGAAATTATTTGTAAAACAAAAATAAAACTTAGTGGTACTCTACAAAGCAGTTGCGGTCTGTAGTAAAACATAAATGAACGTTGCATGTAGAGCAAGTGTTATTTGTGCGATTCTCTATACGGCTTTTAGCCCACTGTACGCATCTTTTTCTGTTACTTACTTTTACCATTACCTGTGAAGGTGTACCGCGCTTCTGTGTATAAGAAATTCGCTTTTTCGTCATAACAACTGACGACAAAGATCTTTGTCGAGACGAAAAGCTACCAATAAGTGACCGAGCTACTACTTGGCGAAATTCTAGGCTCGTAAGCAGAGTTCCTTCAATACGTTTTGCTTCATGCAGCTTGCAATAAATCACATATGAATTATTCATCGCAATATCTAGTAAGTCAAAAAACAACCTTAGGTAGTATTTTATTTTTGCTTTTCGATCCACTTCATAGTATACTTTTTTCTGGTCCATCAGATCGACCCCTCCCATATGTTTATTATATTTTATTATAGCTTCAGGGCAAATTACATTCACCTTTTCAGCACTACCAGAAACACGCTTCTTGACTATCGTCGTAGGTATGGGTGATAAAAAATTTGTTAGCAGAAACACGGCTTTGTTATCCATCCATTTAATGAAAGATATTCCATTGCTGCTGGCTGCAAAAATATCTCCACGATTCATATTTTTAACAAGCAAATAATCACCCAATCCCGTTTCACTGCCACCTCTTTTCTTCCCAGTATACAAATCAAACTGAAATAAATAGCCCGTGGAAGAGCATGCCCTACACCACATCTTGAACCCCCATTTTATTGGTTTATTTTTTACGTACTGCCTCATTATGTTATGCCCCTTGAACTTGATCATGTGTTCGTCTATTGCCTGGGTTTTGGTGTTAGCCATAGCTCTTTGAAAAGCATGGTTGAAATGATCTATAACAGGTCGTATTTTGAATGCTCTATCATAAGACGGATCGGTTCTATTAGGTTCATTAGAATTGTCACTAAAATGCAAGTTCGTACGTATTTCTTCAAAGCGGTTTATAGGCATCACATTAGCAATGTAAGGAACTCCCATGTCAGGATCTGTAGACCAATAGCTCCTGAATGTAGGTAAACAATGATACCCCATCACAAAGTTCATGCCGAAGAAAGCTTTGGCTTCTTCATCAGTCAACGTAAAAGATCTTCCATTATGATGAGCGTAGCGTATGGATTCACGAACAATAATCTCCTCTACTAATTTTTCGAAGCCTGTAGCCGCATTGAAAATTTTTACAGGAGTCAGTTCCGTATCAGAAGTTTGATCAAAAATGTGCACCTCGCCGAAGTTATACCCTTCCATTTCACAAAAATTATGCGGAGAATATGAATTTTTTCGCCAGTTGAAATAAGGGACATTAGAACTAGGCTGTTGATTTTCAATAATATTCTCTTCTGGAGATGCTGACCCCGGTTCAATTTCAACAGTTGAAATACCCGTGTCTATATCTTGCTCTAAAAAATTTGATCCTCTTCATCAAGGACTAAACCCTCCTCATCATCGCTGTAGTCAGCCACCAAGAATTCTATAATTTCGTCTTGCCGCAATGAAAACTCTCTACGTCGATTGGAAGACATGGTCTGTAACCAAATAGAATATACAAAATAAGAATAATAAACAAAACAAAACAGTATAGCAAAAAATATTACCCGCTTGAAGACAGCCTCCCTTGATGCATATAGGGACACCCGCGTCCCTTTAATTTTTTACATAGTACGCCTTATTTTTACAAAGAAAACCAAAAATATGTACCAAAACAGTAATTATACTTACCAGTGAATATAATTCTGAGAAGAAACTGTGGTAAAAAGTAGATATTTAATAAAAAAAATATTTAATTTTCACGTCCTTCTGACAAATATGTCACTTTTCGCGGCATTAACTTTTTTTGACAGATGATGTCTTTACTTAGTGTTGCCAGCGTGCAAACGCGAAAAGGTACTATAAAATTTAATAATACAAATTTAAAAAAGGTTTAACTCGGCCAGTATTACTGTAAATCGTAAAAATTAAGTGGGGACAAATGTGTCCCATATGCGTGAAAGAGTTAAGGCACATCCTACTTACAAAGGAGAGGTCAATATCTAGCAGTGGTGTTAAACGGTGAAGAGGTGTAGGTGGATAGTTATTTACAGCTTTTACCACTTAGGTAGGTAGTTAGTTAGGAGCCGTGGTAGCTCAGATGGTTAACGCTCGCTGTAAATATAACAGAACGTGAGTAACCCGGGTTCGATCCCCGCTGGCACCAATAAAATTGTTAATTCCAATTTGAAGTGCTGATTTACCACGTGCTCGGCGGTGAAGGAAAACATCGGTGAAGAAACCTGCATGTCTGAGGAAAAAGAAAAAAGATATTTCGAAGACATGTGAAGTTCGCCAACATGCATTGGGGCTGCGCGGCGGACACTTCCTTGCCCTAAAACCCTCTCAGAAACGAAAGGAGGCCTGTGCCCAGCAGTGGGATTTATATAGGCTGTAACTTTAATACCACTTAGTCTAAGTCTATACCTAGTCTATGTCAAAGTTTTTCAGTTAAAACATTATTCTAAGGCTAAAAGGGTTTGGGATGTGTATGCGTAATAATATACCATACGTATATACATACATACATATATAAACACTCACCTGTGGCTGTCACCCGGAGAGGTAGGCACAGACTATGGACTTCGATTTGGCACGATCCTTAGGTACCACAGAGCACTATTACTTCTTAGCAGAGATCCTGACACACCTCTCTCGCTAACATACACCTACGCATACATGGTCGTCGGTTAAGGATACTCTTAATTGAAAATGGGCCATTCAATACATCGCCAATTTGATCGATAAACTTTCGTGTAGAGCGTCCCTGTATTAATATATTAAACAAATAACTAGGTACCTCTTTATGTACAAGAAGAGAACCACCACATAGCAAAGGTTCATATATAGTGTTGCGCGCCACAGTTGATTGCACTAGCGCCATCTAGTATCAAGTATCAGAAATAGAAGTGTCAAGATCTTTCTGGAACTTCCTTTTATTGTCACGAACTCTAATAAACGTCAAACGACCAAAATCCACATAAACAAAGCATCGTGACTATATCATCTGTGACGGAGTCAATATTAAAAATTTCAGTCAGAACATTAAAAATTTCATGCTCTATTTTTCCATTCCATTGAAAAAAAATCCAAAGTTACCTCCAAAATAAACAATAAACCGCTGTTATTCATAAAATACTTTAAATAAGATCATGAAACTTTGCATACTAACTGAACTAACTATAAAGCAGTGCTTATGTTATTTACTTTTTTTAAAATACCATTATTTTCACTGTAAAAAGAAATTACCTAAACTATCGGCCTCTTGAAGCTTGATTCCTGCCGCCCGGTCAGTTTCGCTTCGGCCTTTGAAGGGGGAGGTTGTGTCGCTTACGATCAAAATACACATTACGCAACAGGACGAGGTAAAAATTAAAATGGGAAATAATCGTAATAAAAATAAGAAGCGACTGGGTTGGCGTTAAGAAACAGGCATAAATATGATAAACCTAATGAAATAAGTATCTAACTACCTATCTACTTACAGTATTAGTGATTACAAACATGTCGGTACATAGCATACGACGCGCGGGGAAGTGGGGGCGAAATTAGAATTTCCTTCCAAGAAAAAATTGGGATATAGCCTTTAAAAGAAGAATCATTAAAATTCGTTCAAAATTCGCTAAATATCACATAATCTTCGCGTACGTTAGCTAGAAATAAAAATGTACGATCGAAATGAGAACCTTATTTCAGCCGGCTAAAAATACATAGGCGCTTACTATGCCGAAGTTTCAAAGAAAACGGGGAGCTGAATCACACAACATTTAATGTAAACATAAGTAAAATTCCTTTCGAATTTCGTATATTGGATTGACCTTGTAGAATGGGGATAAATACCTCCCCGAGATCGGTGTATACATTAGCAGTTTAGTACAGGGTTGTCGCGCATTCTTATAAGTTGCAATATATTTACATCTGTTGAATGATTAAAACGTTGGAACAAATTTAAAAAAATATTAAAAGCTAAAGCAATTATTAAGGTTTAACGACATATTTTCAGGAAATATTGATGATATAATGCGTTTAAGTATATGCTTCAAAAGATACTTTTTTAACAGAGTTAAGAAAAGCTTCCCCCCTTTTCTTTATTCCACCGTACTTTTGTATATCTTTCACCTATATATATCATATATATATATTTATATATATATATATATATATAACCACCTTCACTTAACACAAGGTGGATTAGCAACTGCAGTTTTTTCTTAATGTGTGCAGTTATCAGGAAGATGCTGCCGCCAATGTCCTGTTTCCTCTGTCGCCTCTTACGACATCTACGGGATGATGTAGGGTAGTGGATTCTCTTATATCCTTAAGGGCAGAAAGAAAAGTTTTTGAATGTTGATGGTAAATGGAAGTTGTGTCCAATAGATATCTACAACTATCCTCGATTATGAATAAAATGCAGATGTCACCCCTGAGGACTAAGATGGAATGACTCCTTTCTAGTGAAAAGATTCTTCGGTTCTTTATACTCACCAGAGGAAACACAGCGACTGTAATCTGCTATTTTACGCTTGTATTCTGTGACAATAATACAGAAATAAAAATATGGTAATATATGATAAGGTAATGACCTTTTAGTGTTAAGGTGTTTTGTTTCAAAGTCGTTACCCGTTATATCCTAGGACTTTCTCTTGTACCATGGAAGCAGTTAACACACATTTTGCACAATTGCAGAGACAAGGACAAGGATACCCACCAGCGCACTACGGAGCCGTCCTTATACATTGTAGATGACCTTGAATAATACTCGACTTCAAAATAAATTTCCACAGTACTTAAATTGGTTATGAAATGATGGATTTAATTCTACGATACTCTGTCTTAGCAGCTTTCTCTGTACATCAAGCCTCTGAACTACCACGGCCCTCACACACGCAGCAATGTACATAGCATAAGCTATCGAAAAAATTGTAACCTCAAATCAAAGTCACTTCGACATGGAATATCTTCCTATTGAGGACTACCTCAATAGGAAGATATTCCATGCCGAAGTGACTTTGATTAGATACTAATCTGAATATGTTTCTCCAAAGAATTGACAACCCTAAACCGGGGTGAATGTACAGCTAGACAGGGGTGGCGACACGCATGCGTGCTCTCTGTTTTGATCCGTCTCTATTCAAATGTGGGGACCGATTTAAGCAGTTTTAGGCAACGCGGGGTTCAGTTCTATTAACATAACTTTTGATACGCAACAATATTATATATTACTGGTATTTTCTTCTGGTTTATATATTTCGTATATATGTTAAGCACATGATTGTTATTTGTATTTGTAATAAATATCTACGATAGATTACAAACCTTTTACCATGGCCAAACGTAGTGTTTATGACAAATTATTTCACAGTGGGACAAAGCCATGCTCAATAACCGCATTTTCTTACGCTAAGCTGAAGCTAATGGACTAAACGAGATACAAGAATCTATAATATGCTATATATAATATGTATAGCACATCTAAAGACGAAGCGTCAGTATCGTCATACGAGTCCATTAGTACGAGACTTTTGGTGTTGCGATAGTCGTGCGATCTTTTGGTGGTGCAGTTGTTCGCGGAAACAGGTGTCTTAAGATATGCTTGTCAGGCGTGAAGTGCTCCTAACAACGGAAGAGGTCCATGTAATAGCAGTGGATTGTTGGGGGCTAGCGATGATTCATTTTTTGAGTTAATGTTTCCACAACAATAAATTTCGATACACTATATGTAAAATTCAATATATTTTAAGGTAATTTCATTTCATATATTTAATAATTCATCAGAGAATGGTGTTTATAGAGATGAGAAACATACAGTCTACTATTTATGTCTTGAGTGGATGACTCTCAAGATGTACGCGAAACTCGCCGTTAGCCACCGCCGAATAGTTTTTTACTGAGGACCTTACGGTAAGACTTCAGTAGAAAGTTTGGAAAATCGATCACGTTAAGCGGCTCCGCACGCTGCATGCTCTCTACTTAAGCGTTTGACAAGCGTGCTGAAATCGCTACACTTACATCACTGCGTCCTTTTTCATAATTAATATGATAAACAAGCTTACAGTTTATCTAGTGGTTAATGCAGCCGGTTGACACCTGTGAGGACTAAGACTGAGAGATGAGAGAGGGGAATGCTTCACAGTCTGTAGTAATACAACTAGTAACTCAATGATGTTAGCGAAATGAGTAGTGTATGACCACAACGTGTATAAAGTTAAAAAAGTAAAGTA